TTAGTTCAGTTAGTATGCAAAGTTTCATGATCTTATTTAAAGTATTTTATGAATAACAGCGGTTTATTGTTCAGTTTGCAGGTAACTTTGGATTTTTTTTCTATCGAGAAAATTTTACGGAATCGTGTTTTCGTCTAACATAAACCTTAACATTAATCCTCAACTTTACCATATATTTATTTCAAAATTAATGCTGCAATACTTTCGGCATAACGGAGGATCTTGCTAAGCCATTTGAGGTTATATTATTTCCCCTTAAGTCGCAAACGATGTCAAGGGAATTTAAAATATTATCCAAATAGTATACCTGTATTAAATATAACATATTATGTACATATTAGAAATGTTATAAAAAAGGTATTGTAAGCATAATAAAATATTATTTCGTCGATTATCTGTTATGAAGTGAATTCTCTCCACCGTAGTTTCAGTACAAACCCTACCAACAAGAAAACTTGAAATTATAAATTTAAATTCTAAGACTATGTACTTTATTTGATTTTTCATTGTAAATTAGGCGTTGCCTCGCCGGAAGGAATGTTATGAACTTGTGATGGGATCAGAGAAAAGGGTTTCTTTTTAACCATCCTTTTAACAGTTGAACTACTAAGGTAAAACAATTGGACTCACACCACCTGGCCTGATAGTTAATAATATAACGTAGGTTTTCCTAGGTTAACTAAGAATTTTCCATATTTTAGCGTTAAGTTTTAATAACATATAGTGGCTCAACATAGGCATGTAAGAAATGCCACAAAGCACGGTCCTGAGCCACGTGCACCTATCGATTTTCGAATATATAATACCTAGTTAAATAATATAACAAAATATATTTCGATACCAAGGTACATTATACATATAAATAAAATTACATTTATTGATTTTATTTAATCAGATGTTGTGAGATCAACTATTTTGTCTGATCAGTTCAACTACATACTAAAATGATTTCAATTCAGTTGCTATATTATGAAAGTCTGACTAGTTCAATGATTAAACTTTGAGTAATAGCGCTCTCCATAGCTCGCTGACATACTCTACTTTCTTCATTCGGCGAGCAGTGATAGACCACAGGTCCATATGTCATCAACCTACGTGTCCAGCGGAGTTGGATCCGACGATTGACCTCTCGGTCGAAGTGTCGAAGTTGGACTTACCTTGGTCCGACAATTTGTACTGGGTAAACATACTCGTCAACAACTTCCAGCATAGTGCTCCCAACAGTTATCAAAATAGGTTTGATATGGACATTACACATGACATGAGACACTATTGAAGGTATTAAGCATAATGCTGAGGTTTTCCTGCGATTGTGCTATAATAATTATATCGTCGGTAAATCTAAGGCGAGTGATGCACGCCATTGATATTGATATCGTATCCTTTCGTACTTGCAGTATTTTTTTAATAATTTCTAAAGTGGTATCACCATTAAAAAGTTTAACAGCACAGTAATATTAGTAGTAGTAATAGTAATACCATAGATATATATGATTAAATTGCAAAATATTTTGCTTAAAATAAATTGCTACAATGCTTTTCTTGATGAATTCGCACAAATTATGAAAGAAATAAGGAGAGTGAATAAGGAGAGTACATTAGTACAAACGTGTAAACGATAGTTTTTAGTGCTTTGCACGACTTGCTATCGTACGATTATCGCCATTCCGACAAAATCAAAGAGAGCCTTTAATTTTTGTTTTGAATGACATTAAAATATGTACTAGCAATCTATTGCTACTAATGTACTCTCCTATAGCACTAAGACAATGGGACGGACCATTACTCTACAATAGTTGGTACAGTTACTTTGTCAGTGCTTTATATTTTAATTTTAAGCAGCTCTTCTGTGCTAACCAAACCTTATATCACACAGTTTTCCTCAAGTTGGTACTCTTGTTTCCTCATTTAATCCTTGAATTCAAAGGGAACTTTTGTAAGGAAACGTATTAAATTTAATGTATTCCAATATTCATTCGGTTTGCATTTACAACTTTTACGGAATATTTAGTAACTGTACAGTATCTTTTACCTAGTCTGTATCAATTAAGGATGTGATAATATAAACATCATTAGTTTTTGTATATCTACGTTTTGTTATTTTTCAAATTAACTAATCCTTTTAGACTACTGTTTTTGTTTAATCGTTATAAATTCATAAGAAGCGTGCCTTGAATCAGATGTCTGGTAGTTAAATCAAATGAGTATTCATTCGTGTATCCGGTATTTTGTTTTCAATGAAGATAATTTAAAAAAAATAAAAAGTAAAACCTAAACCAAAGAAGCAAATCATCCATCATTTTTGAAAATTGAATTCATCTTATTGGGTGAAAATTTCACGTTAGAAGTCTCAAAATGTTAAAAGTTAGAAGAATCAAAATGGAGTCAAAAATATTCAAATAATAAAATGACCTTTTTACGGTAAACTACTACCTACGTACGGAGTGCGATTAGAATGACTAGGAAGGAATGTATAAAATAGAATCTATATGAATAGAAGTTAAATGATTTTCGAATCATTACAAGCATTATACACTAGCGATCCGCCCGGGCTTCGCACGCATTTCTATATGGCAACAATTGTGAATCTAAACCATTCTCGAATCAACTTAATCACACACACGAAATTTTATCAAAATCGGTCCAGGAGTGGACAGGAGTTCAGTTACATACACACAGACAAAAGAATTATACACATATATAAAGATTTTCTCTGTCCTAACATAACTCTGTGTTCTTTCATATTCACAATTGTAATGATGTAGGTATTTATTATATATAAAGTCTGATATCTTTCACCTCTCGCATTTAGGGAATGCAATCTCGTTCTCGCGAGATCTCGACCTTTTTAGCGAGATTGATCTCAGACGAAGGGCGAGATCTCGCGAGTTTAACGAGATTGCACTCGAGCATAAAAACGTCTCATTCGAAGCGCAGACTGACACAGACGGAGTTGCGATCTGTCGGTTATCTGGCCAACGAAATAAGAAGCCTTTCGTTTTTTTTTTTTTTTGTAAAATCATAACCTCACTTTTTTATACAGGAATATTGACGCAGTTATTTCTGCAACGGCTTCGGCTAAGCCGAAGCTGCGGACGGAGGCGAGCATGGGTGCCTGTGATTTGCTACGCAAGGGCGGGGGCTGCTCTCCCTCCGTGCCTACGGCTTTACAAAAACACTCTAGGGGTAGGGCAGACAAGACTACGTGGAGTCGGGGTGTGCCAATTTGGTTTTAGAACCGATTCGACCAATCTTATCTATAAAGTTGCCCTAAACTCTGCTATGATAGTGGTAAATGAAATAATGTAATGTGAATTGTTATAATTTTGTTTTCTGAAAAACCTCTTGACTGCTCTCCACTGTGACTCAATTTATTATATATAAGTCCCATCTCCAGCCAGTGTATCTGTGTTAAAAAAAGCAAATGGACATATTTGCGTTTCGTTACTGCAACTTTTAGTGAAATTTATTTTTATCGTAACTAATTCAAAAGGCATTTCCGAAATCCAAAAATAGTGTAAATGGTTCGAGCTTAACCCTGAAAATCCTCCTAAATTGAAAACAAAATTAAAAAATCAAGTGCCGGACATCTACTTCATAATACGAGAACAAATTGACATATTTGCGTTTCGTTATTACACAATTTTTAGTGAAATTTGTTTTTATCGTAATTAAATCAAAACGCATTTCCGACATCTAAAAACAGTGTAATAGGTTCAAGTTTAACCCTAACAAGCCTCCTAGATTAAAAACATTATCAAAATCAAGTACCGGATGTCTATAGCCAACCTTTTCAGTTTAATAGTCAACTCAACTTAGATAATAAGTTTCATTTTTTTACTTCTCGTTGTTTTGTTTGTTATAAAAGAACGGTTTTATTTTTTTATATGTTATTTGATAGATACGTACGTCAAAGTTACTACTCAGAAGTTTATTAAAAATTATAGACAGATACGTCAAACAATGTTTGATTCATAAAATTCTATTGAAAAAATTCATGAAAATTATTGTCTTATAATACTTATAATTCTTATTTTTTTTCCTAATTTATTCAAATATTGTGATTTTTTGCAAAGAAAACACAAAACTGCTAATCTCGTGAGATCTCGCAGTGTTAATCTTTAACTCGCGGGATCTCGCTTCAGCCCCAATCTCGGGAGATTTGCATTCCCTACTCGCTTTTAGTCGTGCATAACAATAAAATTGTAACTGAAGTGATTATGTTTATAAAAACGAGACATAATAACAAATTACAACAAAATGAATACCAATAAAACAAAATGAAATCTTATTAATTATACTTGATATTGTTTAATAAAACGGTGCAAAAATACCTACTGTTAAGTGGATTATTGTAATCGGAGTCTAAGAAAGGTCTATATGATAAAATAAAAAAAAATATATATATATATATTAAAAAAAAAAAAAGAAAAGGAAGTATTTGTCAAAACGCTAATGCGACAAGTTTAGAAATAAACTGGTTCGATCATCGTGTGTTAAATCAATTACATAACGAGCAGTAATAAGGTGATCCATTAATTACGAAATAATATACTTGCAATGACTCGCACGTCGATGGTTTTTTCATTAATATTAAACAGTTACATATCTCAATGTTCAGTCGAGTAGTAAAAGGTTATCTCTTACGATGCTTTAATGCTTTATCGCTCTAACGCGACGGATTACTTGAATGTGGATATTGACGGCTGGGAGTTGTCGACACCATTTGAGGAAACGTAAAAATTCGATTCGCGTCAGAGGAGGTGCAAAAGTACAGACAACGCAAGCCAGGGGAGGCCGGGGGGGGGGGGGCAGACAGTCACTAATTGTCGGCTGCAGCGACGCGGCGCGCACGTGGGGCGCGGCGACGCAGGTGCCGCCGACCTCGCGCTATCTCGTCTCGCCGCCCGAGGTCGCGGTGATAACGTACGCTATTTTGGACCGGAGCCGGTCCGCTGACCGTCACCGTCGCAAACGCACCCGACAAACGCCACACGAACTCACATAGCGGCCGCGCGGACGACGGATGCCTCGCGCGATATACAACCGACCGAGTGTATAGAGCAAGGCGACAACCGGGGCGAAAGGCCAACCGGCGTCGACGCACTCCGCTCGACGACTGAGCGGAGCGCTGTGCTGTGCTCACCGCCTCGGAGGGAGGAGGCGGCGGGAGGCACGCGACCTCCGGATCCCCGCACCGCCGTAGCTCTCGTCGGTGAAACCGGCGGACGAAATCGCAAAGAGAGACGACGGCGGAGCGGGGGAGGGGGAGGGCTCACGCGGCTGAGCGGTGAGCGCAACGCTCGTCGCTGCACCGTCCGTCTCAGCACTTTACATAACGCTGCACGGGCCGCGCGTCGCTCCCTCGCGAAACGAGGTCGCAGCGGCGCGCCGCCGAGCACCGACAGAATTTTAACAACCACATAGGCCGCGGGTGATGAAACGGCGGCATGAGCGCACCGATGACGTGTCTGAGGAGTTAGTCGGTCGGCGGCGGAGTCACTGAACTTCGACGCAGGCGAATAAGGTGAATGGAACATTGCAACCGAATCAAGCATCGAAAACAACGGTGCGGACGTAGGCGACCGAGTGGCGGCGGGCCGCGAAGAACCGCTCCTTATGCTCGACGCTGTTCAGCTTTCTAATAAAATGTGGGTATTGCGGATGACATCCACAATCAATATATTATGCGACAGTATTATTGCAGGAACATAGTTCCCAAAATCTTCCTACAATTCGCAATATTCTGCTACAAACTCCGTTAAAATACTACTTAGTGCATGCATATAGGTAAATATATTCAAGTAATCTTTAATTACTGATTGCAATTCTAAAATCAGTTTATAAAGAGAATGAAATAAACGTGGTGTTCAACTAAAAAAAGGACTACTGTCAAGTGAAATTCAAAACCAACGTCAGTAGTTTGATTTCCCTATTGCGTTTATGTGCTACGCTGGTCGAGCTCAGCTCGCCTACGCGAAACAACTGGCACGTGTTTTCTATTCGTTATCTGTTCACTCACTTCATTATGTTTATGTCTACGAACAGAACATGCGAGATAGATATCACAACGGTCACTATAAGAATAGTCGAACATCTAAAGAAAAAACCAAATCGAATCTCGAAATCTAGGAACGATTCGTAAAACAGAAAAGTACCTATTTGTGGTAGAGTACAGCTTGCGAACTTTTTCAATATTATTAAGGAATAAGTTATATGAAACACCTATATTTAGCCAGTTTGACGTTTAATAAATCGGCGCGGAAACACGGAAAAAAGGAGGGAGCAAGGGTTATTTGGAGTGTAGCTAGCAGGAACACATAAGTAGACCGAGTACAGGTTCCGAAAGGGGCAGCGGGGAGGGACGGCGCATGCGTGCGTCGGCTGACCTTGGCGCGGTGCAGCGTGCAGCCCGGGCCGCCGTCCGCCCGCACAACCGCACAAACGTCTCCCCCTTCATGTGCCCCTTGTAACCACACCTGCCGGTTTAGCAGGTTGCGATGCGACCTAGCATCATGCTAGATTCTATTTCTGGAACGTCCAGATATTATATTAAATCACTCGTCCTGTACTTCAGTAAGCTGAAGAATGTAATTACTACTACTATATGATATTACTACACAATATCGTCAAGAGTACACAAAAGCTTATTTAATTAAACTCCATTTTGCTTATGCACTGTCCAAAAGATAAACCAAGAAGACGGTTATTATTATAATCTAACCCAATTGCAGTTATCTATCTATGCAATTAATATGATCATCCGATCGCGATTCATGCACGCACTATATTGTTTGCAAACTTCTTGTTGATATAATAACTATAAAATATCAAAAACTTTGAAGTTCCCGACGCCGCAAGTTTCAAAATTTTTCGTGCAGTTTAGGCTACGGGAAGTCTCAATAGAACATACACACAATAGGAAACAAAACCGTCCCTTTCTACTGTAGTCCTTTTCAGTGGCTGCACCACCTTTCATCAACACGCATCACATCAGCATGATTGGGTTGGTTTGACCGGGGAAGGACAACGCTCGCAAAGCGTAAATTAGCAACGTATCGTTATGTATGTATAGTATGCTAAGTATCAGGAACCGACCGGAGGCCCTATTTACTGATAACGAGGCATTCTCTTATCTCATCTTAATCATGAAAGATGAAAACCGATACGCATTTTGATTTTCATTCGAGAATCGGTGGATCGGTGTCTATAGGCAACAGTAATAATGTCCTCCAGACCGAATTTCGGTCACGGCGGTCTGCCTCAATGGAGATTAGCTCGGCGCAGGACAGGATTATAGTGTCCAAGTGTATGTGCAAGCACAGGTGCACTCTCTATTCTCTAATTCTTATAATCCGATGGGATGGTAAACCGATATAATATGACCGGAGAGAGATCAGGTGCAGAATCTAACGGCTTTACGTGATTTCCGAGGCACGGGGGTGTGACATCGCCAACTTCCTGTCTTCAGGCAGCTACTGAAAACCTCTTTACGGAAAAACTCAATTATTGATTTGTTGGCCCGACCTGGAATTCCAACCCACGATCAGTAGTCGCACTACAAAAACCACTAGACCAACGAGGCAGTCAGTATCCTATCATCAGGTAGACTGTGCTCGTTTGCTACCCATACTTCTGTAAAAATAAGGCTTTTGTCGAAACGCAATAAGTGCGCTGGAAAACTTTTCCACGTGTGCTAAGGATAAAGCGAAGACTGGCCTGTAATCAGCTCTGCAATTATAGTGACTCGAGTAAAGTGATAAAAAACATTTTACTCCTGTACCACGTATCTTGTATAACAATGAAAACAATGTTACATCTTTAGTTTTAATTAGCGTTGGCATGTTGGACTTCCGCCAAGAAATATTTGAACATTTAAGATAATCAACAACTAATATACCTACTATATTTCTGCAAATAAATACATATATAATTTTATTTATATACATTATAGTAACATGGTGAACGCAATCGAAGCACCAAAATTATTATTATTATCAAAATCTGTCGTCAAGTGATTCCTGCAACCAATATGAAACATTAAGCGACTCGGGAGTCGAAGTGGAAACGCGAAGGGGGGCTCCACCCACCGGATGTCGAGATAGTAGTCGGTATCGTGCAAAAGCTCCCTCGTGCAACGGGTGATACCGATAATAGTAATGAATTTATTACTTCACTACTGTATAATACTTCATATACATCATCACAATCAGCTGTATGGACTCTATACACTTGGCTATAGGATAAGTTCGTAGCAACATTAGATACTTCATTGTTGTGTAGAATAGTTCTACTAGACCAAAAGTGCAATATTACTCTGATAGGATACCGATGGAAATCTTTCCTCAACTGCGTTGTTTTTCAATATAAAATAAGGTAATATTTATTTATTTATTAGGTTCTCCAACAGTTATAACAGAATACATTTGAATAAAAAAATACAAGTTCCAACATGTCTTAAGCTAAGTGCATAACTACTTATAGGGGAACACATCATGCGTTTAATAATGATAAGTTACATCTATGTGAAAGAACAATCATTAAACCTATTTTAAGTTATTTTTTAATAAATTACAGAAGATATTTTTGGTGACAAAGTCCCTGATCTGTTTACGAAAATGTTCAGAAGAATCAAAATTAAGATCTACCAATGTGCTGCATTCATTGTAAAGTCTACTCAATCTAGTGTCTAGTAATATAAAAGACATTAGCTTAAAATTAATAATGATAGATGCACAATGAGAAAAGCAAACGTCAAAATGATTACACAATCGTCGCTGCTGTGTTAAAACCGTAATAAAACCCATTATCTTACTGACTTAATGAATAAAATCAGGTTCGTGAAAATCTACACAAAATTACGCCAATGAAGAAAAGAAAAACTATAAGTTACGCCCATGCGCAAGTTTGTGTAAAGACAGAAACGCGAATCATAATGTCTGGCTCGATAAAAAAAATATACTAAACCGCTATTTAAACATGTATTTTATCTTCATTCCGTAATAAAACTGTAAAGGTTGTATCAAATGAAAAGATTATTCTTTTGAGATCATTTAACAAATTCGCTTTTAATTTTATCTTCTATGAACAAAAACCTGCTCTCTGCTTTACTACTAAATCGCTAACAATTGCTGGAAGCGAGGTAGCATTTTTATACCGTATTATGATTTATGGGGGCCTTAAGATGAGCTACACGTTTAGGGCAAAAACGTAATTACACTTGATAAAAAAATCGTTATCTCATTAGGGAATAGATATAATATTTCAGTTGGTGTCATGTGTAGGATAATTCCGATTAGGTACGAAATAATATAATTGTATAAAACTTTATCTAAAATGTATCAACAAGACGGGATCTGGTTAACAAAACTTATTAAAAATCGTCTAAATTAGTTCACTAACCTCTATCGTGATACATTTATTAAAAAGTTAAGTCCGTTAGAAATAGCATTCTCATAAAATACCTATAAAAAATCTAATATAAAATTTTTCAATACGTAACAAATAAGTCTGTTATCAATAATTGTTTGACTGGTAGAGAATGCCTTTAGGCATTCAGTCCGTCCTTTATATCCTTTTTTCTAAGGGAATGCAATAATTTTTTTGAAAAAATGAATGAAATTACGTCAGTAACAAAACAAAAGTTTTATTTCACACTGATGTATTGGAATCTTAGAAGTGAAACATTTAACTCTAACCGTTTAACATTTCCTGTAGTATTTATAAAGTCCGGAAATTTGCTCACCTTTTCATATCAGACATATTTGAATATAATATTATAACAATATCGTCAATTAAATCATGCATTTGAGTTCTTACCACAGAAATCGTAATAATAAGACAATAGAAATGAATTAGCGCTCGATTACTTCCAAAACCGATGTCGCCACATCTTACCGTATTATAAACATACGCAATGCACAATGATATCCAATTTTCTATTACATTGCTTGGCGAATTTGTCAACGTCGCGTGTGTCGCGTATTACGGTAGAACAAAAGCAGCAATGGTAATTGTACAATACGAAAAGTAATAAATGAGTTTGCACAGGTAAATGTCATAGTAAAGTATTCATCTAAATGTAAATTAATTAAAACAATGATAATTAGTAAAAAATCAACTTACTGATGAAATGTTATGCCTTTATTAGTTTAATTACACGTCCTTGATGAGTTTTTACAATTGATAATGCTGCAGTGCACCAATATAAATAAAGTAATAATAACAAAATTCACGTCCGACGTTTCCCGCACAACTAAATCACAAAATGGTGAATTATGTTCGTCAACCCATATAAGCGGCAACAAGATCACGCGTCTATGCAATTTCTAATATCTTAATATTACGATTTCTGTGGTTCTTACTTCTTACACGTGACTACACTGCTTACGAGCTTATTGCAAGCGTTAAGGTATTAACGTTATACTACATAGGAATATTTAAGCTACCTCGAGCAGTTAGTAACATTCAACGTTGCTACAGAAAACTACAAAACCTAGCCTTATTATTTTAAAGTAAAAAGCTAAAACTCGCCTCGCCT